GGTGCTATTGTTAACACCTGTGATTTCTAATATACAGAGCTTGATATATGTTCATACTTAAATTTATTCTATGGCTTTGAATAGGAAGAGGAGGGAACCAGAGGACAAGACACTGGATTTTCAATACAGTTATCCACAAAGTAGCCTGGGCTCCTTGGAAAAGTGACTGATACACAGTTGGCAGTAATGAAGCAAAATAAACCAGGAAGTAAGAAAATGATCAGAAATACATGATACACGCAAGAATGGGGGAAACAGAAACTCCTTCCTAGACAAGAAGTCAGCCAGTACCAACAGCTGTAAGGAAGAGTCACTAACGGGAAAAGTGGGCTGTCTTCTGAGTCCCATCTCTGGACTTTCCTCAGTCCCATTCTTGCCACTGGTGACAGACACATGAAGAAGCCATGGCCTCTTGGTCCCACACTGACTGCCTGTAATGAATGGGCTGGGATATATGATCTCAAGGATCCCTTCCAAGCTCCCGTACTCCCATGGAAATGGCCACACCTCCCATGTGATTGTCATGTAATTTCCCTTTCCTTCCCTCTTCTTTATTTTGATTTCCTCTTTATCTTTCTAGTCCCTTCTCAGAAAGATAATTTCAGGATCTGTGTATGAGAAAAAGAGGATATTATGTGACTATTACCTCTAAACAGAAACACTCCTCCCTGGAGTGAGGATAAGACCCAGAAAGCAAACACAACTTACAAGGTGCAGGAAGCTCCTAAAACTTAGAGTTCACAAGGTCTCTCCATAGATTATACAAGCCAGAACAATTGCTACAGCGGGTGTGCTTTCCAGTGGAGCTGTGCAGGGAACTCCGATTCATGACCTGTTCTGATAGGCTTTTCAGTGATGTCCTGCCTGTGTCAGGCCTCACTGGGCTGTAAGTAGCCCACTCATTCACTAGGCTAGACTTGGGTGGAATCATCTCTTTGTTCTGTCATGATGTCCTGTCTGGAGTGAACAGACACTTGCTAATGTATTTCCAGGAAAGGTCATGCACAGAGAGTTGGAAGTGAGGGAGAAAATTGTAACTCCTAATGTTAACCAGTTTCTAGACTGTTGTGGGTAGGGAAGGAAGCAAGATAGAGAGAAAAAGAACACACAAAAGGGATATTTTTCAAGACACATGCTTTAGTCAGGGTTCTCTTTTGTTACTGGCAGTTTTCCCGCCAGCCTGGTCCCACAGCCACGTCAGCCCCAAATAACACATAGAGACGCTGTATTAGATATAAAGCTGTTGGTCAGTTACTAGTGTTTCTTATTTGCAGTGCTCCTCACTGCTGCTGTGCTCCCCACCATGAGGCCCTCTGCAATTATTAGCCCCAAACAAAACATTTATAAGTTGCCTTGGTCATGGTGATTTATCACAGCAGTAGAAGAAGTAACTAAGACAGCCTTCACCAAAGAAGCTTCTTTTTGCCTCAAATGGAGGCAATTACAGAGATCCGCAACTAGTCAAAATGGGGACAGTGAGTGTCCAGGGATATTCAGCCCCACTCGGTACACTTACAACACAACCTCTACATCTGAGGTTTGGGGAACATAGTGGCAGAGGGCACACAAAGATTATCAGACCCAGAGGACAAGGACTGCTAAAAGATGGTGTGTTCTAGACTTGATAGGATGCTGTGCCCACAAAATCTCCACACGCCCTGCCTAATGACAACAGGAGCAGGAGAGATTCTCACCCCCTGGAGGAAGAGCTCCAGGCTTTCAATAGCTCTCAATAGAGAGAATTGGTTCTCTCCAGCATGTGTCATCTGATAGGTTATCTGGCCCCAAGTGATTAACACTAAACACTAAGCATATTGTTAGAGTTTCCCTGCAGAATGGCAGCTTTTCGTGATGCAGTATTCACAATGTGACAAGCTATTGCTCATTGGCTTGTATTTTCTCCCACCAGTGGGGACGGAGGCAGCAAATATGAACGGCTCTTGTAACACAAGTTTGGAAAACTGGAAAAATAAGCCTCACTCAGGGGCTAAGAGCTCTCCAAGGCTACCAGTAAAGCAAAGGCTTCCCTGGGACTCCTTTTTAGTGAAAACCTGACTACTTTGGGCAGAGAAACACATTATCCAATGATTGCAAAGGCTGGTTCTGTTGTGGGGCCCCCTGGGTCACTGCAGGGTCCGGGGCAGAGTGGCTATCCAATGCATTGAGAAGCTTGGCTAACTGTGTCTGTAATGGAATGTGATTTTGGAAAAAAAAAAAAAAAACAGCCAAAGTTTTATCAAAGAACTAGGAAGATACATAGGTCCTAAAGCCCTCGTGGCTTTGCCGTTTCATCTGAAAGCTCTGAGCCAAACATTAGAGTTGTTTTCAGGATAATTATGGATGCTAGATGAACTTTCCCTTATTTTAATCACTAGTCAAAGACTATTGACCAACCTCTGCTTAGGCTGGATGGTCAAACTGCTGTTAAGAATCATTTTATTACAATATACAATTCATTTATGGAAGCAAACACAAGCCTACCTGTAGTCAGCTGAGGAGTGAAAAATACAAACTAAAATAAGAGATGTTCATATTCTTTCTACTAACCTTTTAAGTTTTGTCTTAATTTTGCCTTAGGCTAAAACTAGATGTGGACTCTTCCCCAAGGCAGGAGCCTGCTTGATAATCTTCATGGTTTTTTTTTTTTTTTTTTCTGACTAGCCCTTGAAACTGTCTGTGTGCTATGAATATTTAATCATATTGTCTATAAACAGGTTACTTGGATGTTAGAAACTTAGGTAATTAACATGAATGCAAGAGTTAGAGCTTCAGCAGCTACATTACATATCCAGTGGTATGCTAGCCATGCAGCCCATTTGCGTTGCACTCAGCCTTATTATTCCAAATTACAGAAGAGGACCCTGAAGTTTGGCAGCAGCGAATGGTAACTGTCACGTTCTAAAGCCCTTTCCAATTTTTTTCAGCACATCCTTTGCCTAATGTTTATTTGATGTTTAGAAAACACCCTCGCGTGTGTGAAAGTTTTCTTCTCCCAAAATCAGAGCAGACACTAATGAAAATGATTACTCCTCCAGCAGAGAACAATTGTAAACAGAAGACATTTCTGAATATTTAGCACCTATACTAACTATGTGGGGAATAGACTCAAGAGCGGCAGAAGCACCATGAAAACACACCTGCTTGTGTGTCCAGGAGGGCATTTTTAGGAAGGGCTCACTGAGAAGGAAAGGTCTACCCTGAGCGCTGGCAGCGGGATCACAAGGGCTGAGTCCTGGGCTGAATGTAGAGCCAAACACTCACTGTGGCCACAGGGTGACTACTGCCTCAAACTCTGGCAGCCATGCCTGTACTGCTATGACGGATAAGCACCCTCAAACTGAGAGCCAAAACAAACCCTTCTTTACGCTATTTTTGTCATTTGCCACAGAGGTTAGAAAAGCAACTAACATACAGGCTGTAGGCACGGGCTTTCCACCCACAAACACGTTTTTTAAATGCAAAAGAAGCATTGTTCCATTGTGTCTGCCATCGTTACTGTGGCTCCCTTTGTTCTGGCATTTTGGGATTTCCCACTGGTTGGATTTTTATCATTTTTTTTTCCTCTCTTGTAATTTCATCTTCAGCCTTCTCTTCTATAGTGTCCAAAAGACAGTTATCAGGTTGCATTGTCTCCATTCTTTGTGCTGCATTTTTGCCCTGGGTTATAGACTTCCCTCTCTGCAGCTGTTTCCATTATGAAAAGGCCCCTGGTGTGTGGAGTGATGTAAAACCACGTGGTTGTGCCATTGTGGTCTGGCAGAGTGTCACCTCTCATCTCTGCCAGAGAGACTGACTGTTCTCACCCCCAAGCCCACAAGTTTTTACCCAGTGTGGCTCTGTTCCCTAAGTGTGAGTCTTAACTGTGCTTCCAGGACTCTTCTACCTTCTGCATATTTCCTGAGACAACGCCTGTCTCTGTATGCATTGCACTCTCTTTGTTCCTGTATCCTTTGTGTTGGACTAGGCAACACCACCACCATGTAATTGATGTGAAAAGAGGTGGATTGAAAGAGAGCTCCAGGGACTGGGTTCTGGTCCCTTTATCACCTAGTTCCATTAGAGCAGAAGAGCCACTCTCTGTATCCTGCTTCTTTAGCCCTGAGCACTGACTCAAGATCAAGAGTGGATGAAAGAAACTTTCTGGGTTCTTGTTGACCAATTGCTTTGGACCAAATGATGAAACATGCATAGCAGAAGTGTTTCATCAAACCAACCCCACTGGCACTGTTTAGGATGGCTATCCCTTCTTGATACCTATCAATGATGGTATATATTTTTTGCATTTGTATATTTGTATGTGGGTACCTCTATGTAGACTGTGTTGGTGAGTAGATGCCCAGGAAAACATGTATACAGCCAGAAATTAACATGAGATGCTTCCATTCTCTTACTTTTGAGATAGAGTATCTCACTGAACATGGAGTTTACCTACTGACTATACAGGTTGGCCAGCAAACCCCAGGGATTACAGGCATGTGCTACTACACTCAATCTTGTGTGTGTGCATGAGTGGGGATGATACTGGACATACAAACTTAGGTCCTCATGCTTGTGTAGTAACCACTGTAATAACTGAGCCATTCCCCCACATCCTGTATTATGTTTCCACCGAAATCTATAGATTTCTTAACAGGAAATACAATGCACCTCAGACTAGCACAATGATGAATTTCCATATGTTCCATGTACATATTTTCTCCAGTGGACAATGTATTTGTTCTACATGTGAACAGTGTCTTTTTTTTAAAATTTTATTTCCAAAGAAAATCACTATACTCTGCACCAGTCATGTTATCAAATGATGCTAACAGACACAAAGGGTTAAACAGTAGTATCATGCTTCTGGAGCAGCAAGGATGTCCTATAAGACAACCTGTAGAGCTCTGACCACTTCCCAAGCTTCTGAGTATACACATTCATCCCCTACTAAATTTACCATAGAGTTCAACTATGCCATGCACATTAATCATAAGGGAAAAAAAATCTAAGAGTATCTTTACCTTATAGTAAAGTCTGGACACCAGACTCCGCTGAAGGACCCTTTCTCGGAAATTCACTGCTTTCAGGAGAAAGGTGAGGTGGCCCACCGTGTCAGTGTTAAATGCCAGGAAACTGGAGAGAAAACAGAGACCAGTGTTGTTAGTTTGGCTTTTCAAATAAAAATTCCCTTTAAAGAGTCCCCCCACCCGCCACCCACTGTAGGGGTGATTTATAAGGGCTAATGAGAGCTGGGGAGATGGCTCAGCAGTGGTTATGAGCCCACACTGCTGCTCTGCTACAGAGGACCTGAGTTCAGTTCCCAGCACTTATATCATCAGGTGGCTCACACTACCTGTACCTCCAGCTCCAAATGGCCAATGCCTCTGCCCCTGCAGGTGTCCACATTCACACACGGACACACATGCATATATAGATAATTTTTTAAAACATTAAAAGAAAATAAAAGAGCCAGGCATGTCTCAGTGAGTAAAACACTTACCACACGAACCTAATGACTTGAATTCAATCCTTGAATTCTGTAGTGGAAGACGAACTCCCAAAAGTTGTTCACTCCTCCACACATATATAGTTGGCACATGTACATAATACATACATACAAACACACATACATACATACACAAACATACTAGTGATGATGATAATAATTATTACTATTATAACTGTTATAATTTTACAAAAGCAGCTCAGGAAAGAAAGACACCATGTGACACAGTTCAAGCAGAGGAATTTTTTTCCTTTTTTCTTTTTTATTATTATTTACACTTTTCAAATAAAAAACAATCTTATGTTATATCCTGCTGGGATTAAGGGATTGGATAAAAAGGGGGAAAGGGATGAGAGAGACAAGTCTGGAACAGGAACAGCGGTAGAGAGGAAAGGGGGCAGACAGAGAGAGGGAGAGAAAAAAGAGGGACGGGAGGTGGGCAGGGCCCTTTTAAAAGGGAAATAGTGAATAGGCACAGGTGGTGCTCTTAGTGGCTGCAGCTGAGGGTGTTTCCTGTCAGAACTCCAAAGGCAGGCCAGTACAGATGCCTGAATACTAACAATAGCAATATATATTTAAGAACCCAAAAGCACTTTCTTCCTATAGGAAAGCATTATGAAATGCACCCCACCGCACATCGCATTGCACATACGTGCTTCTTCTCAGTACTTCCTGGTGAGCACGTGGCTCTGGTTTATTCTACATATTTACCCTTGTGATATAGAAGTAATATGGCATCCTGCTTTTCCTACCGACTATGGCAGCTTAAGCAAGGGTCCACATTTTCTCTGCAGCTTTTCTTTATTAACTTCCATTATTTATAACTTCCATCAAGTGAAGCTTTTAACAACATTCAGTATTTTTGAGTTATTATACAGTACTGAGATCTCACTGAGAATTATCTATATTGAGTTATTATTATCTAGCATGCACATACTGTCATAATTAACGTATTGTTCAGGAAACTGAAGCTCAGAAGGATGCAGTCACCTGCTGGATGTCACACAGAGAGAACACCTGGACTTGGCGGATTTCATTTTGGGATATTCCAGTGCTAGAGGGAGTAAGTGTCCCACAGGGCTGTAGGCAAGTGCAGGGTAAATAGATTATACTTTCCCTCATGGGGTAGCATTTATGCCTCCCCATTTGACTTATGGGGAAACTGAAGGATGGGCATCAGTAGATTTAACAGCCAATAGTCAAAATGGCCCCTACCTTGGGGTTTTTCTCACACAAGTCTGGCTTGGAGCTGATTTTGTGTTTCTTCCCCATGAACCTCTCAATAACCTAGATCACAAGGTACAGGCGTGGTTCTGCAAGTAAAGGCGCTGACCATCAAACCTGAGGACCTGAGTTCAATCCCTGGGACCCACATGTTGGGATGAGAGATCAGACTCCTGTAAGTGTCCTCTGACCTCCACTCACATGTTGTGACATGTGCACACACACCCACCCAAGTATTTAACTACTAGCTTGCCCCTCTATTGCTGTGATAAAACACTGACCAAAACCAACTTTCGTGGGGGGATTTATTTGGCTTATATGCCTTGGTCTCACTCCATCACTGATGGAAGTCAGGGCAAGAACTCAAGGCTGGGACCTGGAGGCAGGAACGGAAGCAGAGGCCACGAAGAAGCATTGCTTACAGGCTTGTTCCTCATAGCTTGTTCAGCCTGCTTTTTCATACAACCCAAGACCACGTGTCCAGGGATGGCACCATCCCTGGAGGGACAGGCCCTCACACATCAGTCATTAGTCATGCAAATCACCCATAGACTTGCCCATGGGCCAAACTAATGGGGACACTTCTCAATTGAGTTTCACTCTTCTCAGATGATCCCTAGGCTATGTCAAGTTGACTACAAACTAACCAGTATGTATGAAGTTAATTCATACTAAGGTTTCCCATAGCTCAACTCCCCTCTCCCTACATCCTGGGAAAGTGAATGATTATAAGACCCATATAAGTCAGATTCCCACTAATTAAACCTTAAAACCTTAAGCAGGTGCTATTTATTTTAAGCAGGAGGACATCCTTCAAGGTGCTGAGCAAGCAGTTGCCTTTCATGGAGAGAGAAGGCAAAAGGGGATGTTTATACCCCGGATCCCAGGAAATTTCAATTGTATATTAATGCTCATTCTGAACCTAGCTTTAGAAAGCAGAGTTCCCAACTCAGTCTAGTTCATAAAAGGTATAAAGAACGTACATGGTTTATTCTTTAAAACATATCTTAGTCATAACGGGGGCTATTCTATGAAACCTAGAGCTGTGAATGTTTGTGTTGGAAACTGCCTTTGTATCTTGGGCTGTTTACCATAGGTCAATGTCTATTTCCTTGAGGCTCTGCACTGTGTGTGTAAGACCTCACCTACACATCTGTGTCCCCTGTGGACCCAAGGAAGTCATCTGAAGTAGAAAGCCTTGAAACCTGGACCACTGCTAAAGGGGATATCTTGGATAACTGCCTATTTTACAGGAAGTCAGAATGACTATAGAAAGTAAAACTAGATTAAATGCAAATGTGTACCATTGCTCGTCAGAGAAATGCAAATAAAAACTGGAGTGAAACAGCACACTGCATCCAGCCGTCTGTCCAAAATTAAATACACTGTGTCAAATGTTGCCAAGGACACAGAGAAGCCAGGATTCTTATACCTACTCATGAAAATGTCAAATGGTCAAAGCCACTCTGGAAATCTCAGTTTCTCATAAAATAAGCACATGTGCTATGACCTAGCAATTCCATGTCTCCTACATGCCCAAGAGGAACGTTCATAAAAAGACTTATATAAGAATATTCATAGCAGGCCTAATCATTTGAATGAAAAACTAGAAACATCCCAGGTGTCTATCCATTATAAGAGAATGGAAAACAAATCATAGTATATCCATAAAATACCTCTCAGTAATAAAAAGGGAAGAAGTAATACATATGACACCATGAGTAAATCTCAGAAAGCATTATATTGAATTATTGAAGCAGCTACAAAAGAGTATAGATGGTATGTTCCATTTATATGAAATCCTAGAATGGGAAACTCTAGTCTTTGGTGGAAAAATACAGAATAATGCATATGCATTTGCCCAAACTCCACAAGTGTACATTTAAAGCATGCGAGGGGTATCATAAGAAAATTCTACATAAGGGAAAAGGGAATTGTCCCCTCAGATTGAACTTGAATAAACAATGCTATTTCAAAGTGTGCTAATGTCTGCAGTTTACTTTAAAATGCATGGGAAGGAGATGACTAATGAGTGACGTCATCCGTGAATTCCAGTCAGTGAAGTTCTGACTATATGATAATGATCCACAAGCTCACAATGGAGCTGAAAACTTGCCATTGCCATTGGTACCATGGCCATCACAAAACCACAGCACAAGAGTCAGGTGTGGTGGTGCATGACTTTGGTCCCAGCACTCAGGAGACAGAGGAAGGTGGATCTCTGGTTTGAGGCTAGTCTGGGCTGCAGAGCACATTCCAGAATAACCAGGGCTACACAGAGGAAACCCTATCTTAAAATAAAAGAGAAAGAAAGGAGAAAAGATCACAGCACACCACGGGACCTGTCTGTTTATGCAGATGCTGCTGCAAACAGCTTTACTGTGCTGCCTGGCAAAGTCACATAAAAGTACATCAGCAAATAGGTATACAATTAACTCTATATAATGATCAATATTAGACTTTTATGTATTCACTATGCCATAGTTTATCATTATTTTAGCACATAATGGAAAAAGAAGTTGTTAAAATATTTATTGTTACACAATGTTCCACGTTCCATCAGTGATGGCCTAGTCCACACGTGCTCATACCATGCCCTGTGATTTCACCAAGTGTCCAAGCTGAACACTGATCTATACTGTCCAGATTTGGGACATACACTCCATGATGTTCCCACTACAAAACAGCCTGAGGATTCACTTCTCAGAACGTTTCCCTGTTGTCATGTGACACGTGACTCTGTTCACATGATAGAGATTTAGCATGAACAATTAAGTAGCAAGTTCATGGGAGAATTCCCATGGAAGCTTCTCCATGGGAAGTGAATGCACGAATGTTCGCCCTCAAATCTTTCCAATCTTGTTGCATATCTGAAAAGTTTCATAATCTGATATGAGCAGTGCTTCACTGTGAGATGCACTCTTGACTCTCCCCAACACCCAGAGGCCTCTGTCGAGCTTCCTAGACTGATACAAGCAGTGAGGGTAACAGTGGCAGGCTCGCCTGCAGGAGGCCAAGAGGCAGGACTTCCTGGGACAACCCAGGTACAATTCCCTCTCAGAGCAACCCCCTTCCAGGACTCTCCTCCCTCTCAAGCCATATATGTACTCCCCACCCCAGGCTCATGAAGCCTTTCTGGATCAAGTCTGGTACCTCAACAGTCAAAAGGAGAGCCTTGGGTGACCCCACAATGGCTGCCTGCTTAGAGAACTATAGGATCAGGGAGTTCCCGGCCCTTCTTTCTGCATGTTCCCTCTGCTCCAGGGTACTTCCCCTGAACATTGTCATTAAAAGTGGATTCATCCTGCTCCACTGGAGTGTGAGTCCCGTGGCAGCAGAGTCTAGCTACTACTGTGTCTCAGCAATATGCAGAGCCATGTCTGGCGCACAGGGAAATGTGGAAACATGTTGTTGGCAATAGCTCTCCTTAACAGAAAAAGCCCAGTGAAGAAGCACTGACACGTGGATTGAGAGCATCCTGGCTGTGTGGGAGAGAGAACTAGAGGTTGTTCTAGTTCCATTCTTATTGCTGTGAAGAGACACCATGACCAAAACAACTTATAGAAAAAAGAGTTTATTTAAGGCTTACAGTTTCAGGGGTTTATAGTCCAGGACCATCATGGCTGGGACCACGGCAGCACAGAGGCAGGCATGGTGCTGGAGCAGTCTCTGAAAGCTTATGAATTGAGACACAGCTACCAGGCAGAGAAAGCTAACTAAGAATGGTGTGAGCTTTTGAAACCTCAAAGTCCAACCCCGGTGACACTTCTTCCAACAAGGCCATATCCCCCAATTCTTCCCAAGCAGTTCCACCGAGAACCAAGCATTCAAACACAGGAGCCTATGGGGACCATTCTCACTCAAACCACCAGATGTTAATAACTAGAAATAAATAAATAGTAAGTAAGGCTAGCATTTTTCAAATATTTACAATTGGAATACTGCCTTGGCACATCTCAAATCTATCCTTGAAGATTTGCAGAGGGGTATTGATTTACATATGTTGAGAGACTGCTATGATCCAACAACAGAAGCCAGTTGTGCTCTGCTATCTGGAAAAGGAACAGAAGTGCAGACAATTTTCAGCAAGCTGGGAACAAGGTTCCTGAAAGGGCAAAAGTGATGCTGCTTGGAAACTGCACTCCCCATTCAACCCTGCCTTGGAAAATAGTCAGACTGGAAAGTTAAGGGCACTATGAAATCCTCAGTGGGGTTCGAAATGCTAAAACAGAGTCATGACTTCCTCAAGTGTGTGAGGACAAACTGAGTCATAAAAAGTAAGAGAGACTTCATTAAAGCAATTCAAGCTCTAAAATAAACTACGGTTTGAATAAACAAAAAGTTAAGGAGCAAGGATGAAAAGAGACTGGCTACAGGTCTCTTTTGCTTCATCCCAATGGCTATAAGAAGTACAGGACATTATTAATGTATATTCTGTGTTTTTAAATTAGGGTTATTTATTTTATTTGTATAATGTCTTGCCTACATGTATGTATGTGTACCATGTCCAGAGGAGGACACTGGATCCCCAGTAACTGGAATTACAGATAGCTGTGATAATACCATGTAGGTGCTGAGAACTAAATCCAAGTCCTCTGCAAGAGAAGCAAGTGCTCTTAATCACTGAGCCATTTCTCCAGCTTCCTTTTCCATGTTTTCAGTCAAGGGCCTAAGATCACATTTTCTAACCATTTTTTAAAAATTAGTTCAATATATTTGGGTTATAGAGAACAAGGCTTAGTTTCTAAATAAAAGTGATAATTTTAAAAAATACTGTGAGCTCTCCCAAAGTAGAATAAAGGAAAAAAATATTTATGGCCATAAAGCCATAAAGCAGGAAAGAGATGCCTTAATTTCATTTCCTGTGGCTGTGATAAAGTCACCCTGATAAAGCAGCTCTAGGGAGAAAGGGTTTATGTGGTTCACAATCCCGGGTTATAGTCTATCACGTCAGGGTATAGGTGTCAGGAACCAGCGTCTGTAGCCAGTCACATCACATGTCCAATTAAAAGCAGAGAGCCATGACACGATGCATGCTCCAATACACAGCCTGCCCTCCTCTCTGTCCAACACCCATCCTGTGACATGGAGCTGCCCATTTGGGGTAGATAAAATAGTGCTGCTTACACTCGGGGTGGATGAAATGGAGCTGCCCACCCTCAGGTGGGTTTTCCCACTTCAGTTAACCCAATCAGATGCACAGGCTTCTCACAGTGACCCTAATCTGGACAATTCCTGATTGAGATTCCTTCTACATTGTGTCAAGTTGGTGAAGAAACTATCACAGAGAGGTACATTTGAGGAGCAACAGAGAGAACAGTGGTTATCTGAAAATTACTACCAAACTGGATTAAGCTCTGGTAAGACAGAAGAACCATGGCAATAAAACAAAGAGACACCACAATCGAGCATGGAATGACAGAGAGGACATAGGCAATGGCGGAACGTACCAAGTGACCCATGAAGGAAAAAGCTTTAACAGTCCTAAAACCACTGGGTTAAATATTCTTCTAAGCCCAGATCATTTTAAATCACTTATTGACTTCTTCCAACCAAATAAAAAGTTCTCCCCAAATGCTTCAACAATAAAACTATGACATAAGTCTAAAGCAAAGACATGTAAAAATGGGAAGCAACAGATGGTTCAGTGGGTAAAGGTGCCCGCTGCCAAGTCCAAAGTCTGGGTTCAATCCCCAGAAACCATATGGTAGAAGTCAAGAACTGACTCCTGCAAGTTGTTCTCTGACCTCCACACATGTTCTGGGCACACATGTACCTACACACACACACACACACACACACACTAAATAAATGTAAAACATTTCCAAAGGCATATCAAATAAAGAGAATAAAGGATAAATGTCACATAATTTCCATAGCTGCAAAACATTTTGATAATGTTTATAATGTGGTAATAACAAATGTGCAGTAAAATAATAAAGGGAGAGTCTAAGTTGTATCTCTCAGAAAACAACATTCTTTTCTTAAATTTCATCATACTTTTGTTTGTTTGTATGCATATGCATGAGTGCATGCATGTGTGCTTGTGTTTATGTGTGTGTGTGTGTGTGTCTTTGTACATGTGTGCCTGTGTCTACATGTGTGTACTTATGTGTGTGTGCATGTGTCTACACATTGGAGGTGAGAAGACAACTTGTGTTCTAAACAACATTTGTTGATTTTACTACTTTACATATAGAGTTTAGTGGCCTTCAGCACACTCATTATTAATATTTAAAGATTTATTCTTATTTTTAACTACACATATATGTGTGTGTGTCTATGTGCAGGTATACACATGTGAGTGCAGTGACGAACAAGGCCAGAAGAGGGTGTCAGAATCTCTGGGGCTAGAGTTAAGATGTTTGTGAGCCTGATATTAAATCACAAACTTACTCAAAACATGATGAGGTTTTTGTGAAATGTTTTACTTGACAACATAGTTGTCAAGTGTGAACATTGTAGATGACACTGTGGTCCAGAGAAGGCCAAATTTGAAGACTCCTGCATGCTGGTGGTAGCAATTGTAGCATGAAAACTACTTGGAGCTGTCTAGTAAAGTTGACATTGGCACACCACCCAGAGCAATTCCATTCCTGGGTCACAGACCCTAGAGGAGTGCTTTCTAACAACATGTTTTAAGTCAGCAATGAGCCATGAAATCAGTTTCGAAGACTGAGGTCAATATCCCTTCTTTTTTTCTTAAATACCAGAGAACATCCTGAGTGCTGGACAGGTATGGAGTTGGTTTCAGTTGCATCTGAGGTGCTGGGCTCACTATGGATATCTGTGGCTTTGTAGAATCTACATTTTGCTCTAAGTTGACAAGCTCTACAAAGACTCTCCCCATGTTTCCCAGGGAAAACAACAACAACAACAACAAAACTTTCCCCATGATCATCGGAAAACATGAGCAAAGTGTTTTACCAATTTGTACAAAATGTGAAAATATTGAACAGAACTCAAATAACAATCAAAGGTGGAGACTTGAATGAAGTTTTAAGATTTTAAGCTCACAGAATAAATAATGAAGAAGGAACATGGGAGAAAGGGCAGAGCCAGAAACATTTTAGGTCTTAAGTTGGCACAGAAGCACTGATTTTACATATTTCCTACTGCCTTTGCAAACATCAGATATAAATTCGTCAAGCAAGAGCAAGATGGCCTGTGTCAAGGCTCTATAAACAGACCCAGAACAAAGCCCCGAAGGGGGTAAGGATGCCTTCTTGGGCAGTGTGTACCTGGTTCTCAGCTTGTCACCAGCAGTTGCAGTCCAGTTCTGGATCAGCCCCAAGACTGGATTCTTCTTATGCTGCTTGTTGTACTGGGCCAGCAGTTCCCGGGCCACCACCTGCGCAGAGTTTATCCTGAATCAACCATTCTCACAAGTGTAGAACCTATCAGTACCCTCAAAGGGTGCAGCCAGGTTAAGGCCACTTGTCATTAGCAAACTCCTTGGGGAGAAAGACATCCAAGACCCCATCCTTCTGGGGGCCTCCATATCCTCTGGCAGATATGCAGTATTAGCAGACCACTCTGATCCCTCCTCATGGCTGAGTCCTAATTCTGAGGAAATGCTCTCTCTCCCCTGGCTTCTGACTGCCTTCCACACTAGCCCTGGGGCCAACCATCTTAGTCAATGCATCACATGAAAGCTGCTTGCTTCCAATGGCCCAGATATCTCTTTCTGCTTTTGACATTTTCTGGTTAATTAAGCCTTTGGATATTATTATTATTAAAATACACTGGGTAGTGATTGCACATGCCTTTAATCCCAGTACTCAGGAAGCAGATGAAGGTGGATCTCTATGAGTTCAAGGCTGGCCTAGTCTACAGAGCTAGCTCCAGGAGAGTCAAGGATACACCGAGAAACCATATCTCAACCACCCCCCCAAAAACCTGCAAACAAAGCCATCTATCAATGTCTACCAGTTTACCAATATCCACCCCCCACTGTGACTTAAAGTTAGAATTTTATTTCAAAACATTGAATACTGTTGGAGACCTGTTCAAAAATATCTGTGGATCAACCACAAAAGAGGCTCAGCCAACAGGGCACAGCCAGCACTAGATATATGAGTGACATAACTTGGCTCAGCTTGCCACTGACCAAGCCCCTATAGGAAGAATGAACCCAAGCAAGAACCTGCTGAACCATGAACCATGTTGCCTAAGCTCAGGCTGCAGGGTGACCACAGTCACACACTAACACATGGTTGTCAAGGCACTAAGCCAAGGGTGCTAACTCATCTTTTCTCAGCTTTCAATTTTAGAACTTTTATTTATTTATTTATTTATTTATTTTGCTATTTCACAATAGCACACATGACCTTTCTCTCTCTCTCTCTCTCTCTGTGTGTGTGTGTGTGTGTGTGTGTGTGTGTGTGTGTGTGAGTGACAGGTTTCTTCATTGAACCTGGAACTTGCCGTTTTGGCTAGGCTGGCTGGCAGGGAGCCCTTGTCTCCACTCCCCAAGTGCTAGAGTTAAAGCTGCACACCACCACCCTCAACTTTTACATGGATGCTGGAGATCTCTCAAAACATTTTCTTGTCTTTTTTCCTTGTCAGAGGGAACTTTGTTAGCACTGGTATATAATCAGGTGTGCAGTGCATGAGACAACCTAAGCCAGCTGAGGGCCACAACACTGCATCGCTCTACCACAGGACACGTTCACTGCTGGTAAGCTGTTGAGAGCCCAGAATTCAATTACATCAAAGCTGTTGGGTTCTCTGGTGCCATGGAGCAATACTCTGGGAAGATTGAGCTGCCTGGTGAAGGAGTTGAAGGGAGAGGCACTTTAAATCAGCACACAGTAACTCAGCTGCTCTCTCCTTCCCTTCTGATGGGACTCTGCAATATTCCCAACTCTAACTGCTGCTTGAGCCTGGACCATAAAGTCTGCATTTGAGGCTGCCAAGGCAACTCCGTGTAGAGATGCAGACATTGCTATGTCTTACTGAGATTTTTATTTTGATTTATTATAACTCATTTCAGGGCATCACAATGGCTCAGTGGGTAAAGGCACTCACTGCCAACCCTGATGACCTCAGTTTCGTTCTCAGCATGGTGGAAAGAGAGAATCAGTTGTTACAAGTTCCCCTCTACCTACAAATCTTCTTGCAGGAAGCAGAAGAAACCCTGAGTGAGTGAAGTCCTGAATAAATGTGCTGTTGACAGCCATGTCAAGGACCACAAAGCCTCAGATCCATGGGAAAATGATAAAAACTTCCCCACCAGGGCAGAGCTCAGCAAAATACAAAAGCCTTCCCTTGGGAAGTGAGTGTAAGTGTTGATGGTGTGGGCAGAAAATGGCCACCATAGGTTTCCCCTGCCACCCCCTTCCTCCTGGCACCACCATGTTTATGGACAGAACATTGCTCTCTTTTAGAGACAGGTTCTATAAGACTAGCCAAATCTACCTCCGTAATCCAGCAGTGTACATTAAACCTGCTTTGTTTGCAATAACCCTGCCTCCCTGTTCAATGCTATACAATAAACACTGAGTTTCCTGGGGGCAGTTTTTCCAGCAGGGAGTTCAGTCCACCCCAAACCAGGATTTCTGTTTGTGTATCTGTTAATTCTTTATTTGCTCACATCTCCTCATCAGGTTGAGCCCCTTGAACTGTGCAAGGACATGCCATTTTTGTTTGGTTCCTTGAAGTACTATCTTGAAACTTCAAATTTATAACTTTAGGGGCCAGAGAGATGGCTCAGAGGTTAAGAGTACTGGCTTCCAGAGGACAGAGGTTTGATTCCCAGGATCCACATGGCAGGCTACAACCTTCTGTAACTCCAGTTCCAGGGGACTTGACACCCTCTTTTGGCTTCCATGGGTGCACAAACAGACATGCGGGCAAAACACTCATACACATAAAATAAAAATAAATAAATATTTTAAAAAATAAGTTATATCTTAGAAGGATTACATGGCCAAAGATTTTTATCTTGGGATAAAGGGGGTGGAAGGAAATATAGAGCACAATGTATTAAGTCTAATGGGCTTGGGGATCACTGTATTACAGGGTCAAGTACCATTTTTACGACAGCTACAGCTATATAAACTAAGTGTGAAAATCAAACATGGCCACCAGTGAAGGGAACAACTAACTGTAAGAGGAAACAGAACTAAAATGACCCAGTAGCCAACCAAGCTCAGGCTCCACCACTGTATCATCAAGATGAACACTTACAGGTTCGTTCTGTTTAATTTATGACTGTTCCAACTTGATTTCCCTCTAGTTCCAAAAGCGACATCATTCCAGCTATTAAACAATGGCTGTTTCTGATTCCTGCCCATTGCAGTTTTCCCTGGATTTACTGCCACCCTAGGACAGAGCACATGGTGGATGCTGCTGTCTCCCTGATGCCTGGAACATAGTTACCAGGAGGGCAGACGTGTTTGTCCTTCACCAGCGGACACAAAGCCACTGGATTCAAGTTCCCTTCTGGCCTTCACTTCCTCTCTCCAGTCCCTCAGCAACACCCTCTAACTTTGTCACTGCTGATTTAAGCGACTTAAACTGGGAATATTAAGTCACCCTAATTAGAATAAAATTAGAATGATATAATAATCACTTCTTCCTGCTAAATTTAAGAGTGCCAAGAAAAACTGCCCTGTGGCTAGCACCACAGAAGCAGGTAACCCACTTGGGGGGTCTCTGCTCCTTTTCTAGGTCACGAGACAAATCAATATGCTTTTCAAATGGGTTATTTTGTGCTGTTGATGGCTCCCAGTGAGAGTCCAGGTGTTACTAGACTTTCTTGTCACTGTGGCAAATATCCAAAAAAGCAATGTAGTGTGTGTGGGGGGGGGGAGCTAGCAGTTTAATAGCACAGAGGGCATGGTAGAGCAGAGCTGCAGGCATCATGGTAGCCAGGAGGCAGAGGCTCACTGCCTGGCTTTTTCCTTTCCCCTGATCATTCTGTCTAGGCCCCTGGCTGATGGGATGGTACAATCAAGGGTCTTCCTTCTTAGATAATCCTCATAGGCATACCCAGGTGTGTTTTGTTAATCTTCCAGATGCTTCTCAAATCCAACTTAGTAGGAAGTCAAGGTTGACCCGAATATTAGTGATAAAAGCCCTTAGCCATTGAGATTCAAGGGTTCTATATCCAATACCTTATCAAACAAAGTAACAGACAAGGTCAAGACAGGTCAGAGGCCTGGGCTGAACACCAGCTGAGACAAGCGTTCCCCCCAGCCAGATATATCCCTCAATAGACTATAATAGAATGTTCTATATTTTATCATATTTACACTATTTTTCAGCTTTCCACTTTAAAACCATCACAGATCCACAGAAGTTACAAAGCACAGCAGCACAGAGAGATCCATATGAGGAAAGTGACCTCACATACAACAACAGTGCTTCTGAAAACCAGGAGATTCTGTAACATATCAATTCTCCAGGATCTTATTTATAGTAGACCTTTCATTATTTAAAAAGTATATCCTGCTTCTCTCTTTTTGTTTTTTGTTTGTTTTGTGTTTTGCTTTTTTGTTTGTTTATTTATCAAGACACAGTCTTCCTGTGTGGCTCTGGCTGCCCTGGAACTCATTCTGCAGACCAGGCTGTTCAGGAACTCAGAGATCCGCCTGCCTCTGCCTCTGCCTCCTGAGTGCTGAGATTAAAGGCATGTACCATCATTTTAACCCTGGCTGAAAATACATCCTGTTATAAATTGAAAAAAAAATAATACAAATGGTTACATCTTTCTCCAGGTCTGATGTTGTCCTTATATCAAATCTCCTTAAGGAAGGTGATACAGTTTCTGTCTGGAGTTATGTCTCTGACTACTTACACAGCTCTCTGGTTCTAAGCATGAATACCCTATTTTCTTACACACTGCCCAAGAGTCCTTTCTTAGAACTTGGGAATGGCTGAACAGTCAGAAAAGACATACTTTTTTTCTTTAAAAGAAAAAAAGCCCATCTACAGGAAAAAACTAAGCTAATCTTTAGCCAATATTCAAGACTATGACATCAGAAACACACATTTATAAAAAAAAAACATCACACACATCCTAGAACACTGATTGTATAACACCAATAATTTTTTTTTTAGGTCAAATTGTTTTTCAAGGCATCTGTGAAGCAACTTGAATTTCCACATGCTAAGGATTTCCCTGATTCCTGCCAGGTACAATGAGCTTGGATTTAAAAAGTCTAACAGGGAGGGTTTGCTGCCAAGGCAGAAACATTTGAGCCAATTAGAATAGAAAAGTATGACTGTAAGGTGAAACTTGTCGGTAATCACCCTAGAAGGACATAAAGGCACAGTGGTCTACATGGGTCCACCCTGGGTCTGCACAGGTCTGCACTGGGTATGGTGATGGAGTCGTATGAAGCA